TTTTAATCTCTTCCAGAAGTAGGTGACTAGGTCAGAAATTCTCATTAGTCTTGGAATTTCACACTATCGTGTTTGACTGTGATGAGGCAACATGTTTGGAAGAAAAAAAATACTTAGGATTGAGGCTTAGAAAGTTAAATGACTTGCCAATAGTCTCAAAGTATTTACACCCAGTTCTAAAGGACTCCAAAAGCCATGGCTCTTCTCCCACCTTTGCTGACCCCAAGAAACTTAAATGACGTGGGGGTTAGAGATGACTAAGATTTTTCAATTTACTAGTTTTAAAGATACACTTCATTATTTAAAAAATAACAAGCAAAATCTTAACAATATGGAGAAAATTAAAAGGCCATTTTAAGCACTTCTAAATGATGTTGGTTCTGGTATTTTTTTTTAATGTGTTTAACATGAATGAATCTGTCTTCTTTTACAGGAAAAATATAGAGGTGTATTCCAGAGGTGACAGTTCATGGCACATATAGTTAGAACATGCTATTTGGCACTTATTTTTGTCATCATGTCGCCATTGGTTAAAGCAACAATAGGTAAGATATTTCTGTAATCTATCTGTGGAAGGATTTGTGGTTTAAATTCTCAGTTACAGATTAAAAATATGCGCTTGTGGTAAATGTTCTGGTAGTTGGTCTTTTGTAGTCAATCTACCATGCAAGTGGATAATCTGGTTCTATGTATGTAACTAACATGTATTTTATTTAATTTGTACTAATGATTAAAAGTTCAGTGATAACATTTCCTCTTGAAAATGGCTAGGTAGCCAAGCTCAGCATCATGAACGAATGTTTTACATTAAAATGTACAAGAGGCCCAGTACACGAATTTCGTGCATGGGGTGGGAGATCCCTCAGCCTGGCCTGCACCTTCTCCAATCCAGGACCCCTTGGGGGATGTCTGACTGCTTGTTTAGGCCTGATCCCTGCAGGATTGAGCCTAAACCGGCAATGGGACATCCATCTCACAATCTGGGACCACTGGCAGCTCCTAACTGCTCACCTGCCTGTTTGCCTGATTGCTCCTAATCACTCTGCCTCCCTGCCTGATCACCCCTAACCACTCTGCATGCCTGCCTGATCACCCCTATTTGTTCCCCTGCTGGCCTAATGACCCCTAACCTCTCCTGCCTGCCTGCCTGCCTGCTCAGCCCTAACCACCTCTGCATGCCTGCCTGATCACCCCTATTTGTTCCCCTGCTGGCCTAATGACCCCTAACTGCTCTCCTGCCTGCCTGCCTGCCTGATCACTCCGACCTGCTCTCCCCTGCTGGCCTGATCACCTCTAACTGCTCTCCCCTGCCAGCCTGATCACCTCTAACTGCCTCTGCCCTGGCCCCCATCACCATGGCTTTGTCTGGAAGGACATCCAAAAGATGTCTGGAATCTATTAGTATAGATTCTAAAAGGGTATTTATGTTTGAAGTCAGCTATTTTTTAAAAGTGGTGGCTGGCATTTTCTTTGTTTCTTTCTATTGGCAGCTTATTTTTTACTTTCTGGCCAATTAAGATCAAAGAATATCAAACAAGCAGAAAACAAACATAACTAAGATAAGAGAAAGATGTAGTTTTAGTTCTGAAAATAGAAGTGAGAACTTTTTATTTTAAAAGAATTTTCAGTACTTCCTTTATTTAATTTAAATAACATGTTTTTTTACATCAATTTCTATTTATGGTAGTTGATCCAAGAAATCTTACAATTACCTCCCCTGCCAAAAATAAAAAAATAAAAGACTTCCAGTGAATATTTTATATCACATCTAAAAATTCAGGATGAATCTGTAATTCTGAGGGTTTTTTTTAAATTGGCAATTACTAAGTACCACCAAAAACTTTTAATTCTGAATAGTTGTCATATTTATTTATACAAAAACTTCAGTAATAAGAATGACCTCTTTTTTAAATAAGAGTTTAATGTGGTAACTGACATATAGTAAATAATATGGAGAACTCTTTTTTTCATATTAGCTGTATTGGGTGATGGTTCATCTAGTCCATGGTCTTACATCTTGAAGGAATATCAAAATATGGCACAGTAAGACCTAATTTCTATCTTTGTTGCCAACTACAAATATACCAGAGCCCCTGAATATTTTCTGTTATAAAATAATGTTATAGATTACACATACTTTATACCACTAATATAATAAAAGAGGGAACTATTCCAAAATCTGTCCCTAAAGTTTCTAATAGCCTTTTAAAATTGTCTCTTTTTGGAATGAGTATTTAAGTAAGCATCATAAATCATAAATGGGAATGGAAACAAATGTGATTTATTCTGGGAAGTACTTTTTAGTAGTCTGGTGAATAATTTACATACAGAGAGATTGGCTTTTCCTGGAACTGTGTTCTTGAATGTTCTTCCAACCCTATTTTCTCACCACTTTCCTATTTATAGTTCTGGTTCTAATATTACTGTTTTGAGAGGAATACATGTTTTAATTCAGTTAGACTTTAATATGGTGGCCTTCTGTTCTCATTGTGCATCACCAATACAGCCAGAGCAATGGAGGTTATTTATATTTCCAGGATTTGGTGGGGTTCATTTTGCCCCGCATTTGGGGAATTAATGAACCCTCCATTTTGGAATGGGTTGCTTATATGCCAACGAAAGTATTGCGTTTTGTGTCTCACAGCAGATGTGTGCAAGAGAGGAGATGTGACTGTGGAGCCCTCCCGTGTCCTCCCATTTGGATCTGCTGTCAATATTTCATGCTCTTTAAAGCCCAAGCAAGGCTGCTCTCCATATTCCAATTTTAACAGATTAAGCCTCTACAAGTTACACCAAAAAATAAAGTTCCAGCATGGCCACTCCCTCAGTTCGCAGGTCTCCGGTCTTCCTCTGGGCACAACAGTGTTTGTCTGCAAGCTGGCCTGTGGCAGTAGTGAGGAGATCCAGATATGTGGGGCAGAGATCTCAGTTGGTGGTGAGCATTCCATTCTGAATTCCTAAAAATTGGTGATCGTTTGGTATTTGTCCTGTGTTAAGCAGAAAGCCCAGTGTAGGACTGTGTTCTTTCTTCTCCCACCATGTGGATATATTTTATCTTGATAGTAACATGAGCACCTCAATGTAAGAAGTCCAGAAATCTATGAAATTGGGGTCTCATTTCGTAAGGCTCTATTTCCTCTCTCTCTTCTTCCTTCTCTCCATCCCTCTCCTCCCTCCCCTTTGTGGCCATTAACACCATTTACCTGTTGTCCTTGGACGGCAATGGCAGGAAAATGGATCTCTGCAACCTTCATGCCTTCTCGACTTTGAGAATTTGTTCAAAACTACAACCTCCTAAAAAGAAGAAAGAGATGTCTCTTTGGACTTATGCAGCCCAGGCTGCCTACCCCAGGCTGAACACTTCTCCCTCTCTAACTTTATGTACAAAAAATAGTTCTTCCACCCATAGTCACTCCTGACCACTGATCATCATATTTAGCAGAGGTTAAAAGAAAACTATCATTATATTTATCTTTTCTTGAAAATTGCCTAGGGTAAACCTGACATGCTAACACTCCCTAGGGGGAAAAGAGTTGTATAGTTCCAGGGAAGCAAGAATAAGGGAGCCAGGAAAGTAGCAAAGCAAACACAAGGTGGTTAAGTTACTGAGCTGGTCACAGTGGCATCAGAAAATACAGCTGGTTGCTTGGACACTAGGAACATCCCCAGAAAGAACATATGGAAATGCAATGACAGGAGAAAGAGAGAAGACTTTAACTGTCTGCCTTTGGTCAGAGCATCAACTGCCCCTTACTGCTGGCTTACACAGCGGGTCCCTCCAGGCAGCTGCTGGGAATAAGAACTAAGATGTCACAGTTGGCATCTGCAGCATGAGCCACAGTGCACAGAGTGAGCCAGCAGGAGACCTGCCTGCAGCTTGCAGTCTGCAGCCTGCAGCCTTAAAGGCCCCGCCAGACAAACCAGTGAGCATGCATGGGTCCTGAGGGATCCTGTGGTGCTTTGTGCCCCTGTGGTTCCAGGGGAGGTCCAGAGTAGCAGGTGAGAGGCATGAAGAGAGTAGGAGCAGCTGCTACAGCAGGCTGACCAAATGCAAGGACAGGGTCCCTGTCATAAAAACAGTGCTATAGACCTCAATAAGGCTCTTTCCTGCAAAGGATATGGTTGGTGCCAGGCAGTCTTCCTGGAGGGTCACCAGAAGCATTGAGCGGAACACCAAGCAATGGCCAAACAAATCACTGGGGGGCTAAGAGACATAAACTAGGTCCAGTACTCCTCTTTCAGTTTAGAGTCTCCTGTCCCCACCCTAATGGATCATGTACTCTCAGCTCTCACAGCCTGCGGTGTCATAAGAGGAGCCTGGGCTTTGAATTCCAGCCCTGCCACCAGCAATGTACCCTTCGACAATTTCAATTCTCTGAGCCTCAGTTTCTCCCTCTGCATTATGGAGATACTACCACCTATCTCATAAGATGGTTTCAGTGATTAGATGACACCTTGTATGCAAAGTGCTTCATCTAGTACCAGGCACAGAGGAGGTACATCGGTTATGAGTGCGGAGATTGCACATCTGTCCAGTTTTACTCTCTTCTTTCCCTTAAGAGAAGCATAAGCATTGGTTATAGACAAAATGAAAATGTTTCTAAAAAACGTCAGTGGTCCTCACCTCCCTTGTCTTCAGAACTCCTGAATTCTTCACCCAAGTAATTTGCCATCTTACAGACTGACATCGCGTATTTGTATTAGGCATTCCCAGCTCTGTGATGTCAGTTCCAGGAGTCCACAGTGCTGCTGTGTTGTTGTTGTTGTTTTTCTTTTTGGTGGCCTAACAATGGCCTTGGAAGTCGGTATCCTTGTCGATATCCTTAGCCATTTTTTCCATTTCCTATCTTTGCTCAGATAAATTGGAGTGCTGCAACTCCTTTTCATGTTTTGCTTTTCCATCCACAGTATGCATTTGTGACAGTCTGCAGCAGCAGCGGACCTAGGGAGGTGGGGAGGAGATCTGTCAGGTGCAGCTCGGTTGGGTGGTGCTGCCTGCCTGCCGGAATGTTGCTTGTGCAACGCGCTCAAAGCGTAACCACACCATGAAATGGCTGCTCTTTGAGCAAGTTTAACACCTTTGAGGTCAAGGACTGACTGGAAGCAACACCTTTTTCTGAATATAGCTAGTCATTCCAGGAAAAGACACCGTGAATGTTGGTTTCACCCAGTGTAGTGAGAGTAACCCTACCTAGTGAGAGAGTAAGCAGCCTAGCCCGTGGAAACTACTCAGTGTCTATTTAAATAATTAATTTATAAATGTCCATCAAGTATGTACCCCAAGTAAAGCTACAGAAATTAGACTTAGATGGTACAGCTCAGAAGGCCATGAGTAGGGCCAATGGATAGCAATGTCTTGGCCGTACATTTCAGGTTCAATGGAGAAAAAGAGCCTCCGATTTGTAAAGATTTGTCATATTAAGTGGACTTTATTCTGGAAAGGTAAACTCATCGTCACTGGGGCCATGGAGGTAGTGTTGGGTGTTCACCTGCCAGGGAGAATAGTAAAATGTGGTGAAAGGCTTGGACATAAGTCAGCCACCCCTAGGCTGGAGCCCTGCTTCTGCCACTTCATAGATTTGTAATCTTTGGCAAGATACTTAAGAGTCTTAGTTTCCTCTTCAATAAAGTGAGGATAATAATAGTCTGTACATGATGTAGCTGCTGTGACGTCTACTTGAGAAAAACCGCACATAAAACATTTAGCACAGGACTTGGCATGTAGTGTTTGCTCATAGCCACTATTATTGCTTTTGTTAGCAGAAGAAATTCATGCCTCGGAGGCAAATTTGAACTTGATGGGATCTAACATAGCTACCAGCTTGTCTGGGATGGGACATAGAGAGAAAGTATTGTTATCTTGTTGACAAATAATAACAATGTGATTGAGTTATCACTTGTGTGGCATTTCAAATATATGGCTTTGCTCTTTATTTTTAAAGTTGTTCCAGAACAGCCTCAAAACTTATCATGCACACAGAAGGGAGAACGTGGGACTGTGGCCTGCACCTGGGACAGAGGACGAGACACCCACCTACCTACTGCGTATACTTTACAGTGAGTGAGAGACTGTTCTTGCAGGTTTTTGTGGGTCTCTATATGACATTGAGAAGTACCTAATAGTTCTAGTTTAACCTGTGAGAAGAAGCAGTAGACAGCTCTAGATCATTAGATGTTTTTTTAAAAAAATGCTAGCGTTCATAAATGAAAACTGGTTCATTCATCTACAGTGTGGGAACTGATGCGTGGGTCTGGGGTCTAACTCAAAGCTCTCTTCAGAGCATCCAAGGCCAGTTTTTTGCACGTTCTTCCCTGCTCTAGGGAGGGTTAAACTGGCTGCCTTATATACCTTTTCTCGAAGACTCTTGTGGTCATGATATATAAATAGACTCTTCCTTGTGGAGCTTTCCGTCAGCCTGGGAAAGTTTCTTTTCGAAGCACCTTTGCCTGACCTGCACGAGCGTCCACAGGGAGAGTCTGGGAGTGTCTGTTTCTTGCAGTTGATTCTATAATCCCATCCAAAGATCCCACTGGGTTGCACTGTGCCTAAGTGAGCAGCAGATGGTACTTGGAAGTGGGTCCCAGGGTTCTGGTCTGTACTAGAAACTGGCACTTCTGTGCAGTAAATGCCAAGGTGGACCATGGATCCTTTGGATCTGACCTAAGGAACCAAGACATCAGAAAGGGTTTGGGGAATTCAGGCAGTGTAGGGATGCTTACTCACCTCTATGAATGTCAAAAATAAATAAATAAATCTCAGTCCTACCAAAGAAAGGGAGAGGGGGAAGTATGGTCCTATTTGTGACCATAGAATACAAACATTTTCATAGTGTACCCTCTAGTAATAAGACTGACCCTAAAAATATGTCTAGAATTTTAAATATTTGAAAGTTTCATTCTTTTGTGTTAAAAGGGGAAAATAGCACATAACGTATCCTGCTAAACACAGATGTCTCTTATTCACAGGTTAAATGGACCAAAAAATTTAACTTGGCAGAAGACATGTAATGATTATTACTGTGACCATTTGGACCTTGGAATCAACCTACCTCTGGAATCACCTGAATCCAGTTACACAGCCAGGGTCACTACCATCAGTGATCTTGGAAATGCTTCTTCATTTCCATCCACATTCACATTCTTGGACATAGGTACATTTTATTTCACTTTTTGTAGGTGTCATATGTTGGCGCATGAACATTATTTCAAAAATCGCTTGAATGTCCTACATGTGATTGTTTCAAAAGAGGCAGTGGTTGATGGAAAGTGACCAACAAGCAGAGGCATAGGATAAACATTATTTTGATGCAGGTGAAAGGGTGCATGATCCTGGAGCTATGTAGAGATGGTTGTATAAAAGTCAACATTATTCTCTATATTGGACAAACAGGAGCCCCTGGTTTCAATCCCACGAAGGCACCAGCTGCCAGTAATACTATCTGTCTGAGAGAGGGTCCTGTGAGGTTATCTCAAGAAGCTCAGTGTAGGCCATTCTTGGTAGAGATGTCTTTTTACCCCCATGGCTGTTCCACTCTTCTGAGTTAGGCTACATGTAGGCCTGCAGCTCTGGAGCAGCTGGTGCAAACTATAAATAAAATGGATCAAGGTTTATGTGCACCTCGCTCTGTGGGTACTTACCTCTGCTCCTCTCAGCGTGGTTGCTGGAATGAGCCAGTCCCAGCACATTTCTGAGCAAATATAATTGGCCCAGATGAATCAAAGACCAATCCCAGGCATTCCCAGATTCTGCCCATCCCAGGTAGAACTGGGTTTCTGGCCTGCCTGAAGTCCCAGCCTCACACTGTGTGTTTCTCTTCTGTCTTCCCACAGCACCTCTTTGCATACACACTGCTAACTGTAAGTCTGAACATAGGCATTTAATATGCATTTTCCTATCACTCTTCTCCCCATCTACTTTGCATCTCTTTACATAGGCATCTCTAAGCCACCTTCTTCTCTCTTATTCTTTTCTTCTGTTCCCCTGTTCCTATATCCCCTTCTGGTGACTTTTCTACCAACATTTCTTCTCTTCCTGAGGGGATCACCTCTAGCCACCTCTAACTCAGCATTGGGACTCTCAGATTTGGCACATCATTTGTTTCTTTTAAATCATTGAATTCAGTGGAATCAACACTATCGTTGTTGTCGGTGGTAGTTTATTTGGTAAAAATGAGGGAAGATTAAGAGGAATTATTTTAAGGATTTAGAAGTGAATCAAACTTTTTCTTCTTTCTAAAAGCCAGGGACTTCTCTCTTGTTTATTTCACCAAATTGGGTGATCATGCATCTTAGAGATGAATTTTGTTCAACTCTTTATAGCTCATGTTAATACATAAGACAATTTCTGATTGTGGAGCCTGAATCACACTTTTTTGTTTATCCTGTTTACCAGTGAGGCCTCTTCCTCCGTGGGACATCAGAATCAAATGTGCAAATGATTCTGTGAGCAGGTGTACTCTTCAGTGGAGAGATGAGGGGATGGTGCTGTTTAATCGACTCAGATATCGGCCCAGTAACAGCAGGTCCTGGAATATGGTAATGGTTTTTGGAGTGAAGGGGGAAAACAGAGAGGGGTTCTTGATATTACTGCACAGACCTCTGTCTTTTCATATCAACGAAATATGTAGTTTAAAGTATATATATATATATACTTGAGTTATACCAGAAAGCCAGATATACCTCTATTTATCAAGAAATATATTGAATTCTGATCACTGATTTTTTAAGTTGCAAGCTTCTGTAGACCAGTATTAATTTTCTATATTTTGTGTCTAGTAAAGGGCTCATTTCTCCTTGAGTTTTTTTTTTAATCCCTGCCCTATTATTACTTTTTAGTAATTTTTTAACATATTAGAAACAGAAATATTAGGGTCTGTTCACAGAAGTTTATGTGGAATTTAATATTCCAAAGTTAAAGCCCCACACTTTGATATATTAGGCATTATTTTTTTTTACAATAAAAAGTATAGGATTATAATTTCTTCCAGTATTTTTATAAACTATAATGTCTTTTTTAAAATATATTTTTATTGATTTCAGAGAGGAAGGGAAAGGGAGAAAGAGATTAAAAAAACATTAATGATGAGAGGGAATAATTGATTTGTGCCTCCTTCACACCCCCTACTGGGGATCAAGCACTCAACCCAGCATGTGCCCTTGACAGGAATTGAACCCAGGACCCTTCAGTCTGCAGGCCAACACTCTATCCACTGAGCCAAACCAGCTAGAACTAAACTATAATGTCTTATAATGACAAAGGATCAGTTTCATATACAGCTGATATTCAAGAGAGGTACAGTAACTAAATTTCTTAAATATTTTTATATAATTAAAGTTTTCTGTTTGAACCCAGTTCTATGTCTTTATAAGTATTAAAATATGCATCACATTCTAATTGTGATCAAATGTAGAAAATTCTCCAAGGCCTTTATGAAAATTGGTAGTTTTCAACTGATACTTCCTTTTCAGCTAGTTTTAGGAATCCTCTTGGAGCTTACATAGATAGGTTCTTAATATCAGGAGATATTTTTGTTTTGTTTATTCTGAAACAGTATTATTTCAGTGTATTCAATAACCCAGCCATTGATATATCTTCTCATTGAATGACAGATCTGAAAAAAAAAAATGAGTTACCTGGTCTAGTTTTTTACCTTTTTGTTAAAATTCTTTAAATTAATAGAGTATTAATATGCACCTTAAAAATCTTGTCTGTTTGAAGGTTAATACTACAAATGCCAAAGGAAGACATGATTTATTGGATCTGAAACCATTCACAGATTATGAATTTCAGGTTTCCTCTAAACTACATCTTTATAAAGGCAGTTGGAGTGACTGGAGTGAATCATTGAGAATGCAAACACCAGAAGAAGGTATGTGTCAAAAAAACCCCCCAAAAACAGGAATGCGGTGGGGTGGGGGCAGAGAGAAAGGGTGGAGGGAAAGAAGATACAATGATTTCCTTGGAATAGAGTCGCTAAAGTCCTGATACTGAGTCAAAGAGTATGATTGCATTAATTAACAAGTTAATTTCCACATGAACTTAAGTTCTGAAACTGTCAGAGAGATCTGTTTATATTGCTAGGAAATATTTAACATTAGATAAGTCCTACTCCTGTTTGGCACGTGTCATGCTGGTGACAAGCTTAAGCCTCAGTAGTCTTTGGTTATAACTTCCTATTTTTATTGCACTTATTATTTTTTTACTTACCATCTCAGTAATTCTCTCTCTCTTAAGTTACAGAGCTAAACCAGTAATTAATTTCATTCTTTCATAGTTAAACCTTGATTCAGTTTACTGTTTGGATTCTATGAAAATGAATTTGGCTCTGTGAGCCACTGAAAGCTTGAAAGAAGGAGAATTCTGGACACATAATATTTTAAAGTAAAACTTAACATCCAGCCATCTTTCTCCTTCAAATACTGCAGCATTGCACTTCTTCCAGGCTTTGACTCCCTGCTCAGATGAGTGCCAGTAGACTGTCCAAAGCTATGAAAAGGATATCAAATGTATTTTGCAGTCTTATGGGCTTTTATATTTGGTAATCATTGGGAAGGTAATTTTACTGAAGTATAATTAAAATATTTTTATTAGAGCAAAAATGCTTATATAAGCATTATTTCAGTAATTAACAAATCTTGGGAAACAAAAGAAATAGCCACCTGAATATTAGTATCCAAAAGCTCTCAATTAGTTAGATTGCATGGACTTTCCATAATTTGTGTACATTTGGCTCAGGAAAAATTATTAGCATATAATGCATTGCTTTATTATCTTGAGGTTTTGTAATATTAATACTTACTTGTGGAAACTTGTGGATTTGTGTGTACATGAACTAACCTTGTGATTAAGTTACATTCATTTTCTGTGAGCTGGTAATGGCTTTTGTTAATTGATGACACTTATCAATGATTCTTCAATGACATTCAAGCATCTAAAAGACCTATTAATAAAATATAATTCCTGAGATAATTGTATATTCTTCCCCTCTTGTATGAATCGCATTACTTCTATTTTAAAAAAATGTTTAAAAATGAAATCATTCAACAAATTAGAATTTATTTCCTCTCATTTCATAATAAAAATCCCGTAAATTAAATCTCGTTGAGCCACTTGCTGTCTGCTTAAATGCTTGCCATTTTCATAATCCAGAGCTTATTTTTATTATCCTTGTATTACACATAGTCAAAGTAATGAATTTTTTAAAAGTACTTCATGGAGTTGATTTTATTTATACACAGTACAGATAAAATTCTTGAAAATGGGCCATATTTTCTAAGTTCAAGGTAGTAAATATTTGTTATATTATGTGAGTCTAAACTATAAACAAGGGAAACTCTGGATTTGTGAATTCTTGTCATTCTTACTCACCTTTGGTAATGACCTGTTAAAAGGGTTTTCTTTTCTTGTAAGTGTTTATCTGTTGAATTAAAAACCCTTCAAGGTAGGACAGTAGCAACTTTCTCATGTCTTATAAAATAAACCACTATCATAACAATGAGTGCAGCAACTTGTTATGGTTAAGAATTTGTGGATGGTTGTGAATTGAACCAAGAAAGCTGGCTCTTTCAGAGTAATTGCAGGCATTCATAAAGAGAGAAACCTATACTCTGAGATATACCACGGTTACCAAGCTCTGTTGGCTTCCTTTCAATGTCTGAATCTCCCTTTTTGGTGTTTGATCTTTCTGTGGGTTGTTGTAGGATTTCTTTTCTCTTACTCTAAGCTGCATGGTTTTCACCTTTTACCACTATTTCTGTCATCAGTTTCTTTATGAAACACCAACTGATGTAAACCTAAAAGGTGTGAAATTTTTTTAACACGCCTTCCTTTTAACCCTTTAAATATAGACTCATATGTAACTTGGCATTTAAAAAAATTACTAGTAAGCTTTTTTTTTTTTTTTTAAATGTCACTCTAAAACCAAATAATACTTTGCTACCAAAACTGAGAGCAAAATGTTGTCTCCTGGTGGTTTGGGCACAGTTATTTAAACTTGGCATTTAAAAAAATTACTAGTAAGCTTTTTTTTTTTTTAAATGTCACTCTAAGACCAAATAATACTTTGCTACCAAAAACTGAGAGCAAATGTTGTCTCCTGGTGGTTTGGGCACAGTTATTTATATCATAACAGCAGGAAATTAGGTCGTTATTTACTCCATATGGCCTTTCCCTATGTCATTAAATTTAACTCCAGTAATGGTCCTCCATGAGAAACACTTTTCAAATGACCACTAAGTAAGGTGTAGGAGGAAAGAAACCACTTTCTGTGTCCCACAATCTTCCATCAAAGGCAGGATTGATACTGGGAATTGAGCAATCATATTTTGTGTCTAGTGGAAAAACACTTTGAATTTGGGGGTCCAGACAGGCCTGAGAATAATATGCTCAAATTCCGGGGGGAAGTGATCCCTTACAACTCAGAACACCCAGGAGGAATGTTATATCATTTTCATGTCACTGAAAATGATTTTTTTTTAAATTAAATCTTTATTGTTCAGGTTATTACAGTTGTTCCTCTTTTTTCCCCCCAAAGCTCCCCTCCTCCCAGTTCCCACCCCACCCTCCTCCCTCACTCCCCACCCACTGTCCTCATCCATAGGTGCACG